TATTAAAGACAAACCAGAAACTCCGTAGCTTCTGGTTCCTGTCTTGGAACTAGCTCTTGTAGACCAGGCTGGCCTCGAACTCACAGAGATCCACCTGTCTCCGCCTCCCGAGTGCTGGGATTAAAGGTGTGCGCCACCACCGCCCGGCTTGCCTAACCTATTTTTGATGGCGGTTTTGAGGTGGTAGCTTCAGAGGAGGCAGGCATGTGTACATTGTGTGTGTGCCAAATGCGGACAGTGACTCGGTCAGCTGTGAGTTCTCTGAATGAAGGTTACTAAAGGCCGAGGCAGAGCCGGTGCCAAAGGGCCTGCAAGATTGAGAATGAGAGGGCTGGGCTACTACAGCTGTGGCCCTTGTCATGGACGGGACCCAGGCATTCCTAGGGACAAAAGCACTATTTGTCTGGCTGGCGTTGGCCTCCAGCTTGGCCCTGCATCCACTCCCCTGGATCCTGAGCAGTGCTGGCTCTGCAGTACTGTGTCCGAGGTCCTTTTGCCAATTAAAAGACAGCCAAATGCCCGAGTTGGCAATAAGTACCAGGGACCCCACGGGAGAATTTCCAGGCCATACTTAATCCCAAACCCACTTAACAAGTGTGAGACAGGAGACTTCCTGTAAGTGAATTCCATGCCATACCCTTCCCCCAAAAGCCAAGTCCAAACTGGTTCTCTCCAAAAGCTGCTCTAGGGTTTTTCTCTCTGAATACATATAACCACAGAGCCATTGAGTTCAGTTATACAATTAAACAGGGTGTCTTAAAATTGCTCGATGGCATCCATCCAATGGACCTCATCCTGGGGGCCACCTCCCATTTGGGGCTAGCGGGAGGGTCTGAGGGACTTGCCAGTCTGGAACCTGGAGCATGGGAGGTGAGTTTAGAACTGTCAGGACAGGATGTTGGCTCTGCTCCCTCCGATGAGTGGTAACGATGGGGGGCAGTATTTGGGGGAGCACACTCAGGTTGGGCTGCTTGCTTGTTTCCTTGTGCCTTTTATTTGCTCTGGGGGGACAGTGGGTGGCCTCTTGCCCTTGTACTCACGCTGATCCCTCATGGAACAGCCATCTGCTTCAGCCAGGGTGGAGATGTGTGTGTTTTAATCATAGGGCTTCCTGTTTTCTTTGCCTTCTAGAAAGTCCAAGAGGAGGAGAGCAATACCAGCAAGGTGCCCACCGTCGTGTCAGAGGCTCATCTCTGAGAGAGAGACAGAGAGAGGTGGCAGAGACTCAGGAACAGACACACTCGCCTCTAGGTCCCATTGAGCTGTGACTGCCAGCACCTACATCTCCATGGAGGAGCTTCTAGAGGAAGCAGCTGGAAGATTTGCGACTTGCAAGGCAGTGCCTATGCCTACTGGGCCCTACCTGAGAACCTGGCTGGTTTACTCAGGGAAAACCTCACCTCTCTCCAGATGCAGACTGGATTCTGGTCCCCTCTCCCTGTTAGGTCTCAGGGCTAGCATTGGGAGAGGCTGGTGGAGGGTGCTGGAGTCGATCCTTGCTTGGTCCCTTGTCTTTTCTTATCCCTTCTCTCGTGGAGAACGCTTCCAGAATTATCCTAAGAAAGCTTATTCAGGAGATTAACTTTTTCTAATGTCTTAAGACTTAACCACACGAAGCCCGGTTCTTACTGAGAACGGGCAAGCTGCTCTGCCTGAGGGTCGTGATGAGGAAGCACCCTGATACAGCCTCCTTCAGAGCCCAGCATTCCACAGAGGCAGCTCTATCAGGACTCTTGACCTCAGCACTCCTGGCCAAACACTGCAGTCTCTTCCCACCTTCTTTCCTGGCAGTCAAAGACAAAACAGCAATAAACCAGACAAAACCTCTCTTGTAGCCCTGAAGGAAGAAATGACTGAAGAGGGCTCCCTGCCTAGCTGTAACAGTGCTGGGGGTTACCTTGAGTGTGTGTGGGGGCTCCGGGCTAGGATGGGAAGGTGCTTTCCTACAAAAGAGGTGCTTGCCCAGGGACTCTAGTATCCCAGGCTACTCAGAATGTCTTTATTGGATATTGCACTGGGAAATGCTGCCATCAGCCCAGCGGCTTGTGGCTCTAATTTTTATTATAAGTTAGTCTCATTGACTCTACTCTGACACCCAAGGCTGTCTCTGAGGAAAGAGGCAGAAGGCGGCTCTTAAAACAGACATGATGTCTGTCTCAGGTAAACATAATCCTGTGGAAGTCTGGGACAGTATTTGCACAACCAAACCCTCTCCCTGCCTCTGCTAGCCAAATCTGCCAGATATTTTAAATTGAGAAGGACTCCTTGTAAATCCCAGTTGACCTCCTTCCTCCCCCCAGTCTGCTGGTAACGTCATGGCTTTTGTAGTGTCTCCTCCAAGAGAAACTGGCAACTGATTTCTCCTGCGCCTTGAGCAATTCTGGTCAAGACCATTGCGTCATCTGGCCTTGGCCATGGCCTTAGCATTCCAGAATAGCCAGATTGCCTGCAATATCGGGGTGCCAGGCCAGAGGGGATTCACTTGTGTGCACATACATTTGTGTTTGTGTATTGTGTGTAGACCTGAGCAGTGGATGGGAGGAAAGCAGTGTGGTGGAGGGTTGGGGATGGAAGAGAGAGGTAGGTGCCTTACTTTCTGTCAAGAGAAAGGAGTACTTTTTTCAACTGTTCAAAATGGACATGTTTACTCAATCCACTTGTTTAAAAAAAACGAACAGAATTTGTATTTCTTGTTTATAATACCAGATATTTTTAAAGCAATAAAGATTTTCAAAGTGGTTTGCCTTGTCATTTAGCAAGGTAGTGGCAGCTCTGGGCAGCCCCCACAAGGTTATCACACTTTTTTGAGGATGTCTGGGGGACGACTGGGGGTGAGGGGCAGGGCTTGGGGCCAGAACATCTGTGTCCTCCTTTGTTGACAAGGGTGTAACATCCTGTTGGACTTTTTTTTTTCTAACAGACTTTAAAGGTTCCTGACCGCCTACGTAGAAGATGTAACTCAGTGGCCAACCTGTGACCCTGACTTTCCCTCTACTGTGTCTACTGTGTGTAGGCTGGAATGTGCTCCTCCCCAGGAGAAAGGCCCACTGTTGTCTTTGGCTCTGCCTCAAAGGGCAACTGAAGTGTTTTGTTTGATCACCCCAGACCCGCACCAGCTTGCTCTGGCTGGTGTCCACAGCGTAGCTCCAGCACTGGCAGCTTGGTGACTTTCTCAGGGACTGTCCTCCCTGGTCTTCTTCTCCACCCTGTTCACTTTACGTCGGCTGCCAGGTTCTCAGCTGTCACTTTTTCTGCCTGTTTCTTGCCTTGAGAAGTGTCCCACACCCGGGACATTCGGGCACTCTTTCTTATCAAGTCTTACCTGGAGAAACCAGGCTTCACTAGACGTAGGGGAGGGACTGAGCCTGACTCTTAAATTGGCTTCTTAAAACAGTGAGCAGGTGAAGATAATTTCCAGTGTCGTGGGAATCCGAGGTCCAGAACCGCATTCTCTTTTGGCAATATAAATGAAACCAGCCTGAATTGGAAGCCAGAGCTGTGCAAAGCTGAGAGAATTGCAGTAAAAGGGAGCTGGAGGCCCGACCAAACACCACCGCACCCGACCAAACACCACCGCACCCCAGGACATCTTCTTTTGGACTATAACGCCAAGCCATCTTTACCCTTCAGTCTCTTAAGGCAAGCTTTCCTTCTAAACTACTTTCCTATGTATTTAACTAAGACCACCAGCCACCCTCCTTACCCTTACCCAAGCTACTTCCTTCCTCTGACCTTGCACCTTTCAAGGTCAAAGCATTCACCCTTTGGTCGAAGCAGCTTCACTGACCTCAGTCCTTGAATGGTTGCTGCTCCTTTTACCCTAAATGCTCAACATCTACCTTCTGGGCATTTGAGTCTCAGCTGAAGCCCTCCAGTTCGGGAAGATCTTTCTGATCTGTTTAGGATCTATTGTCTTTTTTTTTTTAATATTTATTTATTTATTTATTATGTATACAATATTCTGTCTGTATGCCCGAAGGCCAGAAGAGGGTGCCAGACCTCTTTACAGATGGTTGTGAGCTACCATGTGGTTGCTGGGAATTGAACTCAGGACCTTTGGAAGAGCAGGCAATGCTCTTAACCACTGAGCCATCTCTCCAGCCCCTGTCTTTTTCTGTCCTGCCAGCCAGTTCCCAAATAACCACATGGAGACTTATTATGAAAGCTTGGTCTTATGACTTAAATTATCCCCTATCTGTGCCCTTTTATGAGGCTCAGTTACCTTGCCTTTGTAATGCCTATGCTGCTTGCTCTGCATTCCTTCTTCCCAGCATCCTCTCTGCTCCCAAAGTCCTGTCTAGCTATTGGCCATTTAGCTTTTTATTAAGCCATTCCAAGGGACACATCTTCACAGTGCACAGAGATAATTCCACAATAGTTCCTCCCTCTGCTTCTTGATTCAAACACCTGCTTCCTTACAGAATTGTCTCAAGTTCTTGGCTGTTTCGTGGAACCTGTTATCCTGACTGTGTGAGGCCCATGGCCTTGTCTATGTTGTTCACGTCTCCATCCTGAGGATCTAACATGGAAAAATGCTCATAGGCGTTTGTTGAAACAGTGACTAGCTTGCTGAATATACAGTGTCGGTGGCCACTCTGGAGCAGTGCTCAGAGGAAGTGCTGTTCACATGGAGGCATTGACATTGACCTAGATTCCTTACACCCTCATGGCTGTTCCTCCTAGGCTGCTTCATTCTACCTTCGGTATCTGTGCTCAGGAATCTACTTCTTTGGGAAGAGAATGGGAAAGGGCCATCACTGTTGCGCTGTCGATGTAGAATCCTGAAGGTGAAGCAGGAAGAAGGGAAGATGTGGCATCAAGAAGACAAGTAAGCAAGCGACCATGAGGAGCTAGCGGCAGCCAGGCTTTCCAGGGCCTTGAGCCGCCCTACTCTCTGCAGTGGACAGAAAGACGCAGACAGCTCCGCGGCTCTGGTGTTGGGGCTCATGGAGGGTAAGAGGCCCTTAGGAAAGGTCAAAGTACAATGACTGATCAGAATAGAAGGTCTTTCTATTTATTATAAAATGCATTACACAAATACAACTGACCGAAAGGTCTAAAAACAGTCCAGACTCTTCCAACCTTTATCCAGCTGTAGATAAAAGAGAAGCCTGGTCCTGCTCACACGGAGGGCAGCCCTTCTCGGAAGAGCTGCCTGTCCCTTGGATGGTCAGAGTCTTGGGGTCCAGCAGCAGAAAGAAGCCCGTATGTGTGGACAATCCCTGGAAGCAGCCCTTGGTCGCAGCTGCTCCGGGCAGGCAGCAGCTTGAGTTCACAGTTCTCATGTTCCCACCACACAAGTCAAAGCAAGGAACGGCGATAAACAGAAAAAATGAAAGACCAGAAAAGGGAGCCAGCTAGGGGAGGGCACATGGGCGTGTGTGTGGGGGCTTCTGAGGATTTCTTAACTTTGATTAATGTAACAGAATATTTCTTAGATGACTCTAAATTATATATATATATATATATATATGTGTGTGTGTTACATAGGTTTTCTGTATGAACATCTTAAATATTTAAAAACATTAAAAACCCCAAACCCCAAAAGCTAAAGATGCTGAACTTAGATGAAGGAACTAAGGACACAGCTGAAAAGAAATGATTTAAGGACAGAGGATGAAGAACGAAGACAGCCAATGCGGAAAACAACGATGTTTTGGACGTGGCAAGGCAGGCCTCAGTTTCAGTTTCTCTTCTTCTGTATGGATCCTGGTTCTGCCTCTAGATACCGGAGCCCAACCAGCATACCCAGGATGGAGAGACCTTCAACACAGAGAGAAGATTAGCGGTGGCTATTAAAAACTGCACCCCACAAGTCCAACACACCTGTGCTCCGCACCAGCCCCACCGCCGCAGGGTTCACTACCGCAGGGGGTTTAGGGTGGCTTGGTGCTTACTTGCCACCATCAGGGGTGCCAGCACACCAACTGTGGGAGCTGCTGTTCCAAATACGAACAACTCTGAGAGGAAGTGTCCCAAGGCGAGGAAGAAGGTCCACAGTGTGATGTGGTAGAGTCTGTAAGGGACAGAGATGGGAACCAAAGTGACTACGTGTTTGGTGCAGCACTGCAGAGGGTGTCGGCTGACTGGACACAGTGACACATTCCTTAGAAACACCTGGCTATTTAATCACACCAAGTTCTACTCTCCTGGGGCAAAACTAGAGACCTCTGAGGCATGGGCCAAGCAGTCACAGTGGGCCCTATGACTTAGCAAGGTAGAGAGAAGTCACCATGAGAATCTGGATGGTAGACTTGGGCCGTGTAGCAGTTCTGGATCAAACATACTCACGTGCTCAGTGCCAGCTGACAGACTCTAGCCGAAGCCTACCCTAGCAGGTGTCTGGCCACGAGCCAGCCAGTGCTGTGTGATGGAACAGTAAATGAGTGTTTTAAGCGGCAAGAGGCCCTCAGATGCTCTTGCAGTACATGTTTGTTAGTTTATGTCTTGGCCTAAAATCTGGTCTGGGGAGGTCACACAGCAAATCCAGAGGAAGAGAACTTGCTCCTCGGTTTTGACGATGAGATGGTGGCTGACCACCTGAATTTCAGGTATCTGTTTTTGTAAACTGTGAAAAAAAATTAGGATACACTCCAAGTAAACTAACGAAGCACAGTGTGACCAAGACTCAGCTGTAGCTACTGGTTTTCACATTTGGACACTTTTGGTTCTTTTCAGTTCTGGGGATCACACTCAGGGACTAATGAATGCCAGGTGAGCATTCTGATTCTGAGCTAGATCCCCAGGTGGATACTTTTATATTACAAAGAAATAAACATTACAGAAGTGGAAACATCTGTGCACCCTTAGCCTACCCTGACTGCCTTCTCCCTCCCCTTTTCAAAAGTACCCAGTGTCTTAAATTGGCTTTTACCATGCTGGTGCGTGTGTGTGGTGCGTGTGTGTGTCTGTGTGTTTCTGGTTAGGGAGGGAATAAGCTCAGGCCGCATGTCAGAGGGCAATGGATCAAAGTCCTAAGCTAGAAGTGACTGGAAACATTAACTCAGCATTTGCAACTGCTCTGGGCTGGAGGCGGGAAAACTCTGAGGGGTGAGGGTGAGAATGAACTTCTGTTCGCTCTCCGAGCACAGCAAACAGAAGCTGCCGCCCTTATACCTGGGTCTTCAAAATGATTATCCCACCCTCCCGTCTTCTCATTCACCCAGAGAGGTAGAACAGCGATCTATTATCATTTTATAGATGAGAGCAGACAACCCGGCTGCCGGCAACTCTGAGAGCAGAATGTGTTTTCCTTGCTTTCATTCTTGACCCCAGGCAGTTTCCACTAAACCATACTGCTTCTAAAAATATGTGTCCAATCTAGGACATGTAATCCAGTTTCAAGTTTAAAAAAAAAAATTAAAAATAAAGATGGAAAGATCAAATGGCTAATAATTTTGCTTCAAATCCCACTTGAGTCGGTCTCCCTCTGCTTAAGTTAATTGAGTTTTTAATATTTATATTACAAAACCAGTAATGAAAATCACTACCTTCTCTCCCCAGGGGCTGCTGAGAGACTGAGGCAAGGTCATGTAGGTGAAAGCTCCTGGAAAAACCAGAGAGGAGCCATAAATCTTGTTGCTTTCTCTCTTCCCCAGATGCTGAGGGGGAGGGACAAGATAAAAAGATTTCAGTGTAAGGTTGGCCCTTTGACAGCTTCACCCAGTGAATTGAGCAATGGCAGCTTCAACCTAGATAGTGATTACTGCCGGGAAGAGAGCTTGAGCCCCCTCCAGTGGCCAGGACTGGGTATGGCATCATCTAGAAAAGAGGCTAGGATGGCCTGCCCCTGTTTATTTTCACCTTACTCTTTGGAGAGGCAGCACACATGTTTCCCATACTGACTGACTTCTTCATGGGCCTCTTTCAGCTTACTTGTGAGTTTCTCTCTTTTCATGGATTTCTGGTCGTTCCTGATTAATGAGGATTGTGCAAAACGTATGTATGGAACTAGGGATGTAGTTCAGGGCTAGAGGATATATTGACTGTACTCAAGGGCCTTCATTTGATCCAGCAGCACTTTGAAAACAATACGCCAAGACTAAACTGAGCACAGCATTCTAGTTCTATAGGAGAGGTGGGTTCCAGTCAAGACATCCGATGCAGGCCACTAGTCAATGGCAATGTCATTTGCTATGCTCTGTCAGGCCTAAAGGCATTTCAGGCCCTGAAGGAATGGTGCGGCAGGACTCTCATTTTCTATACTCTATGCTAATGCCGTAGTGATTTAACAGGTCACAAGAGCAGGGCAATGCACATGCGTGGAGCCTGACTGGCAACAAAAGGAAGCCAAAGGCCTTCTTTCCTGACATACGTTTTGTTGTGGATGTCAATGGCACAGAGGCAGCGAATCACCGACGAGAGCAGCGTCCAGATCCCAAAGGTCCGGGCTTGGAGGCCATTCACTGTGTAGCAAAGAACGAGAGTGGTGAGAAGGGGAGGGCCGAAGTGAGCTTTGCCCTAAGCTAGTCTACTTCCCTGGTGAGACAGACGGTAGCCCAGCCTGACCTCCCTGTGGGGGCCCCTGAGGAGCGGAATGGAAGGAATTCTGAGTGCTGCTCCATCCACTTTGGATGCCTACAGTTGGAAGGGAATGCTGCAGAGATGGTCTGAACACACAGATGCCTAGCAGGACCGACAGCCTTTGTAGACTGCTAGAGACCAGACGCCAGTACCAGCATAGATGTGTTCAAGGCGTGGGCTTCCAGAGGTCTCAGATCTGCTCTGTTGTGATGATGCGCAAACCAGGATGGCTTCTTGTGCACACAGAAGTGTAAAAATACTACCTCTCTGGGGGTTCTGGGGTCTCTGCTCTTGGTAGCTTGATCGTGAGACTGCTGAACTAAATAGCTTGCCTTGAAGATTCAAGTCACATTTCCCTGTAACAGTGGCACTTTCTGTGTCACCCGAAGGAGTTTTATAAAATCCCCACGCTCTGGACACCTCATGAGTTTTATCAGATTCTCTAGTCATGAGTACTTTCTAGAAACGCCCTGCTTGCATAACTTAACTGTAGAGCCAGTGAACTGAAGCACCCTGTGGATTTCAAATGTTCAAACTGCAAAACAGTTCTTTTGCTGATCTCTTATAGAAATTTTCTTTTCTTATTAAAAAAAAAATCTGGGAGTAGTTCAGTTGTTAAGCACTTGCCCAGCATGCCGGATAAGGCGTCCTGGGTTTGACTCCCAGCACTTGGGGTGGGGTGGGAATCAATGAACAAAGTCGACAACCGAGAAGTTTTTTAACTTTCACTTGGGCTTAAAAAACTCGTTTGCCAGCCGGGCGGTGGTGGCGCACGCCAATCCCAGCACTCGGGAGGCAGAGGCAGGCGGATATCTGTGAGTTCGAGACCAGCCTGGTCTACAGAGCTAGTTCCAGGACAGGCTCCAAAGCCACAGAGAAACCCTGTCTCGAAAAACAAAAACAAAACAAAACAAACAAACAAACAAAAAAAAACTCGTTTGCCTTTGGAAATGCAGATAAACTCTGCTAAATTCACACCAAGGACCTTTTAGAGCGTAATGAGAAAATATCTGTAACATCAGCCATTTGGCCACACATTCTTTAGAAACCAAGTTCATGGCTTTTCTAATGAAGACCGAAGAAATTCCTTTAGTGTGATATACTCAAAACCTGACAAGGATCAAGTGAAAGTTTACATGTCTGGGCCACTAGAGCACTATTCTGCCAACATACATGTGCACATGCTCACTCTCTCTCTCTCTCTCTCTGGGCAAGAAGATGCCCTCTCCACTTCCAGATAATTTCTAATAGTCTGTGATATGCAACTATACAAGTTCCACGACTACCTGGGACAGCAACTGAGCAGCAAGAAAGAGTCCTTCCTGCTCACATCCCCAGGGCCTTGACGCCCATTATATCTGAACTTTGTTCAAAGTGAGCCTCAGCCTACTTAGTTTCATTCCTACCTACGCGCTGCAGAGGAATGAGTAGGTCAGAGCCTGGATCTGGGTTAGCTATAAATGTACAGAGCTGCTGTCAATCAGAGATGCAGCTCCAAGTACCCCCGTGCCAATGGCGCCAAGTGCCAGCTGCAGAGAACAGATACGCCGTGGAGAGCTTCGTGAGTCGGGAAAGGTCAGTGTGAGCTGGAAGGTTTACTTTCAGAGAGCAATCTGGAGGGATTTGGAGTATTCACTTGAACCAGAGCTCAGTTTGGGAAAATCTTGGCTAGGTAACTGTCTACCTGTTACACAGATGATGGGCCATGTGTGCCGTGCCCTGATTTCTGATGAGGGCACTGAGAAACAGTAAAACGTCTATTTATGGCTTTCGAATAGCACCCCAGAGTCAATATGTCACTCTATTTCCTTGCTTGTCTTTATGCAGGAGAATCTGAACACATCCATTGTCCAGGGTAGTGTCAACCGAATGAAGGGGTGTCCAGAGATAACGGGGGAAAAAAGGGTCAAGTGCTTCCCACACATTCTATTTCTCTAGTGGCTACCAAGACTGGATTAGACAACAGAACCAGCGGGATATTTCTAGAAGTAGAGTCCCAGGCAGGTTCGAATGATTAGATTTGGAGATGGAAAGAAGTGTCTGTGTTTTCATAGACTAAGTAGCCTGCTTTGTTCAGATCTATAGCCCAATTGGGGAATTAACAGGTAGGCCAGTGCTACACAGAATACATTTCTTTACATAATTTTCTTTTTGTTATTCTAATTAATTAATTTTTTTTGGTGGGGGGAGCAAGAGGTTGAGACAGGGTTTCTCTGTGTAACAGCCCTGGCTGTCCCGGAACTCACTTTATAGACCAGGTTGGCCTCAATTTTGCAGAGTTCTGCTTCTGCCTTCCCAATGCTGGGATTAAAGGTGCGCGCCACCATGCCCGACAATACATTTATTTCTTGATATAGGGTCTCATCAAATTGACCAGTCTGGCTTTGAACTCTCAATCTTCTTGCCCTATCCTCTTGGGCGCTAGGATCACAGGCATGTTCTTTTGACTTCTTACCAAGGTTTGGCTTGCCAGTGTAGAGCTTCTCATAGAGAAAGGTGTGGTCTCGGAAGCTCTGGAGCGTGTTCCCCATGGCTATGATGGACACCATAACCAGCCAGCTTCGTAACACGTTCAGGAAGCGGCTCATGATTCCCCTCACAGAGAGGGAGCGCTGCCTTGGAAACAAAGAGGACAAAATGAAGGTACTTCCTCATCTACCACGGCTCTCTCACCTCCGGGGTTAGTCTGCGTCCCACTCGCAAGAGCTGGTCCGAGGGACGCTGGCGGAACACGTCACAGACTCCTCCTGGCGTCCTCTGGAGCAACCCTGTTTTCTTGCCACAGCGCTTTCACTTGACATGATGCCTAGGAACACCTGCCCTACGTGGAGGAATGCTGAACTCTGTTCAGAGTGACTGAGGCTAGAAAAGAATGCAATGGGTGGGAATTCTAGCAGGAAAGAAATGGGGTAGACTAATATTTCTATAAAGCGACAGAATGGGTTTCTGGGTGAAGCCTGTGCTGCTGCCAGTGCTCAGCCACTGTAGTGAGGGTGAGTGAACGGTGACCTCGCAGCACGAAGTTAAGTCATCCCCCAAAGCACAGTACTGCTGTGAGCCAGCATTCCATCCCCTGGCCTGGAATCAGTACTGTGTCTTCATCTCTTCATGCCATTCCTTTACAATGCAAGTGGCTCAAAGGTGGTTCTAAATCTACTCGGATACCTGGATACTGATGACATACTTCCAAACTTATAGAAGCTGTACTGTCCATGTGAGTGGAAGCTATGGTGTGGTTGACCAACTGGTATTCTTAGTTTCCCTCTGCTTGGTTCCCAGATACATAGTGTTACATAAACTAAAACAATCTAAAAAGATTTTTTTTTTTTTTAAACAAACTTCCTTGGCTTGGTGTTGGGCTGCAAGAAAAACTACACTAGTTATCAGTTAGGGGGAACTGGTGCCCTATACTTGCCCCACGTATCTAACATTGTATTTCACTCACTACCTATATCACCATAGGCAGGCACTACTAGTATTTCCATTTTACAGATGGCGCTCAGAACTAGTAGCTAAGTGATTTGCTTAGGTCACATAGCTAATACATAGCAGAGTGCCATGGCCTGTTGAAATGACTCTGTAAATACTACCTCCCGACGAATATTTTGATGAAGTTCCCATCTTAAAAAAATATTTATTTACTTGTTTTGATCCAGGGTTTTACTATGTAGCCCTGGCTGGTCTGGAACTCATTATATAGACCAGACTGGCCTTGAACTCACAGAGATTCATCCGTCTCTTTCTCCTGAGTGCTGGAACTAAAGATGTGTACCACTATGCACAGCCAAGTTCCCATTGTTTTTGAGGAAGCTAAACACACCAGAAACACTGTTGTCTTCAGATGGTAGAAGAGCGAGTTTCTACACCTTTTTTTAGATCAAGCCTTGTTGAGTAGTGATTTCCATCAGTTTGATCTAAATGAAGCCCACAGAGATAAATATATCATGATCATCATAATTTTGGCCCTTCATTGATCTGTTGTCAGGCTAAGTTCTTTGTCCTGAAAGCTGTAAGAAACTACCTGGCTGCCTTTATCACTGTGGTAGTATGTTTTCGTATGATTCCACACTACTCAGCACCGATAGTAAAGTGAAGTGACCAAAATCCAACTAAACAGGGCATCAGGAGAAGAATGGTGAATCCAGGGGAAACAGAGGCTCCAAACACAGACTTTCTCAGTCTATCGAGTCTCTGGCCCTCACAGACATTCACAGCCTAGGCCAAGATCCACTTCTCTTTATTTTGTCAACAGCAGACTCAATTTGACTTAGTTAAAAAAGCTGCACCTTCACACATACTCCCTTTCAATAGAACGCAGACTGTATGCCTTCCATTCTACAGATCTTAGAAATCTCAGTAGAGAGCTGATGAAGACACAACCAGTGTATTTCCGTATTGCTCTACCAATTCCTCAAAACCATTTCCCTGGAGTTTTGAGGTGATGGGAGGGGCGGGGTTTACAGTATCAATTTCCAAATTTTGTCCAGACCCAGTTCAGCGTTGATGCACTGCTAATTAGCAATCAGGAAAGAGGGATTCCTATCCTAGCTCCATTACTCAGCTCTGGGGTCTCAGGCAAGTCACTGAGACTCCACAGCCCCAGTTTTCTCATCCGTAAATTGGGGATACAAACATTTATCTCAAGGGTTACTGGAGAATTACACGAGAAAACGAGAAAGCTCTCTGCACAGAGCTAGGTTCAAAGTGACTGCTCGTTCATTCATTCACCCGTCCCCAGAATTTAGCAAACGCTCTCCATTTTCCTAGCACCCCCTTGGTTATCGTTTCTAGATTCCTTCCCCTCCCAAAAGGTAGCTTTCCAGGCAACCCCCACTTTCCTAAATTCTTCAGATAGTCTCATTCGTATGCAAAACGGATACCTACATCCCATTCCACATTCTCCTACCTGACGACCCAGTACTGCAGCACGAGAACCAGCAGCATCCACAACCCAGCTCCCCCAGGACAGCACCAGTCCCAAGTCCACTCGGACCACTGTCCCCGCCCCCAACCTCAGTCCAGCTCTAGGATTGGGTCGTTCCTGTCAGTCCTCGCTCCGATTGGCTGGGCTCGTTCAGTTCGAGCAGGCGATAGGGAGTGAACCCCTTTGCTGCCAATCAGCGGTTGCTGACGCCTAAGCCTCTCCCCGCTGCGCCGCTCACGCGGTAAACCCTTCTGTAGAGCGCGGCGGAACTCTGGGTTTGGAGTCAGCCTTTTAGGGGTGGGGAAAACGCGAAAAGTAGAGGAGCCAAGAAATCCTTCTGGAGACAGCCTGGCTCTACGCCGGCGCCCGGGCGCGCCGTGATGACGCCATCCGTCCGCGCCCGCAGTCGAGCGTTGTTCGCGCCGCTGGCAGGCGCCTGCGCAGTGGCTCCGAGCGGGCGGTTGCTTGTTGGTTGTTGTAGTAACGGGGGAAGCAGCCTTCCGCGGCTGCGTTGATTCCGACTGGGGAAGGAGGAGGGAGGTGAAGCAGAGCGCGGTCCCCGCCAGCCAGCCCCGAGCCCTGAGAAGATGAGACAGGTAAACGCCTGCAGGGCGCGCTCCGGGGAGGTACGCCCCAAGGCTGGGTGGCCGCGGCTGCGCTTCCCTCCGAGCCCCGGAGCAGCTGTTGGCTTCCGGGCGTGCTAGTCTGAAGCGCTGCGGCACAGTAGCCGCGTCCTTGCCAGCGTAGCACCTGCGGAGCTGCCTAGGGTTGGGGGTGAGCTGGGGTGGAGCAGGCGGCAGATCCCCGGAGGGACAAGGACTTCCTTGGGCATAGTGTCTCTAATCGTCAGAGCACCCTGTCTGTCTTTCTCGTCAAGGAGCCAAGGGAAGGTGGCCATCCTTCTTGCTTGGAGGTTTTAGTTTAACTTAAAAGACGCTTAAGCATTTTGGGAAAAATCGAGAAATCCCTTTAGGAATCATCCGAAAAGAATCATTGAGGTTGCCAGATGCTGTCGATTTCTGCTGAAGATGTGTAGCTGTTGCCGCCTGCTGCAGTTGTTTCGTTTGCTTGGTCATGTGTATGCATAGACAAGCAGAAGTTTGGAAAATTGTCCCAAATAGATTATCTCTGAGTAACGAGCGTTTTTCCTATGTGTTTCTATTTCTTCTAAAACAGCGAACATGAAGTTTTCCTCCATAGAAAGTTTGAAGTTAAAAATGCAGAGTTGAAAATGTCCAGTTTTTAATGTCTACTTTAGGTTTGAATTAAAATGTGTAATTTTTTTTTAGTAACAGAATAATTATTAAGAGTGTTTGGCTCCCTACTCCCCAACTGTTTGTCATTCCTGGTGAGAGGAAAAATTTTCTTTACACTTTTATTAAAAGTTAAGTTGAATTGGTTTTCCTAGAAACATAGCGCCATGTTTGTTTGCTTGTGACAGAGTCTGTATAAATAGCCACAAGTGTTGTGGACCTTGACTTTTTGCTTTGATTTTCATCGGATTCGTCTAGCAAAGACTTGTCTAAATTTAGGCTGTCAGCTATCCATGTCAGAGTGCCCTAAAGCCGTCCATTTTGGTGCATGCTACATTTGCCATATATGAAAAGTGAGGAACTCAAATTTAGTAATAGCTTTTAGATACAGCAGAAACACTGTGTTTGAAAAAAATCTTAAGCTGGATGTGGTGGTACATGCCTTTAATCCCAGCACTAAGGGGTGGGGGGGGGGGGGACAAAGGCAGGTGGAGCTCAGAGTTTGAGGCCAACCTGTTCTCCAGATTGAGTTCCAGGAGAGCTAGGGCTACTCAGAGAAACCCTGTCTCAAAAAACCAAAAGAAAAGAAAAAATAATTTTGGTTTTTATGGCATTTGAGGGGCACAGTGGCAGAAAGTGAGCCTCTAGAGTTTGGATAATATTTAGGAATATATTCCTTTTCATTTGTTTTTAAAGATTGTGCCCAAAACCCTGAAGTGCCTATCTGCATTATATTTGAAATCCTCTGACTTTCTCGCAGGAGTCTGTGCTATCCAAATTGTCTGATCCAGTGAAACTGCAAGGAAGAAAGGTCTCTGAGGCCTCTGTCTGTTGACTGCATGACAAACCCTAAAGGAAATGCCAGTTGTGATGGCCCGGGACCTGGAGGAAACAGCATCATCCTCAGAGGATGAGGACCTGGTAAACCAAGAGTAAGTCATAGCAAGCCCTTGGGGTGGAAAGTTGCTTCTCTTGCTCATAGCCAGCATCCCTGTCTGGTGTTGTCCCCCTGTGACTGAAGTCAACATCCTGTTATTCACTTCCCCTTCAGCTCTCAGAAATGTAAAGGCTGGGCTGTATGTTTCCAGACTTGTGAGAGAATATCAGCTTTAGATGTTGTAAAGTTCAGGTAGGAGCTCGGGTGAGCTTGTGGTTTGTTTATTTATTTATTTATTTATTTATTTATTTATTCGTTTGTTTTTGTTTTTTTTTCCTTTTTCCACTTTGTTTTTGAGGTAGGGTCTCATTCATATTGTGCTCCCACTACATCTGGCTTTGAAACAATATACTTACATATTTTCAAAGGCTTGCATGTGCCTGCTTGAGTTTATATGCACCATCGGCCTGCAGGTTCCTGAGGAGACCAGAGAGCATAGGATCCCCTGGAGCTGGGGTTACAGAAGTTGCAGCTGGGAAATAAACCTGGGTCCTCTGCGGGAGCAGGAAGCTCTCTTAACTGTAGAGCCATCTCTCTAGTCCCTGCATCTGGCTTTTTTTCTTTTCTTGTGGGTTTTGGGATTGAACTCAGGTCGCCAGGCTTACAAGTAAGTACATTTACCTGTTTAACCATCTCCCTGGCCCCATTGTGTGAACTTAAAATTTTTTTTTACATTTATTTATTTTAGTGTTCATGTGTGTTGGGGGTGGGGCACACATGCTGCCATGCAGTGGAGGCCAGAGCACAGCTTGCTGGAGTCTGTTCTGCCCTTCCACCATGTGGGTTCTGGGACTCGAACTCAGGTCACGTGTGGTGACCAGCATGGAGCCACCTTGCCAGCCTCGTGCCAGGTTCACTCTGACCGCAGTGTTTAATAATTTGAAAATTTGAGATTTTGAAAGTTTTAGAGACGGATAAAAAGTTATGATCCTGAGCTCTGACCTTGACTATACTAGTTTTCCCAAAATCCCTTACAACTCTAGAGCAGTGATGATATAAAAAGCCTCAGCAACTCCCACAAGGATGTGAGAGTTCTGCAGCCTGTGGCGCTGGCTCTCTGGAGTTTTAGGTTAAGAGTCAACTTCCTCTTTTTTTTTTTTTCCCAGATAGAGTTTCTCTGTGTTACAGTCCTGGCTGTCCTGGAACTTGCTTTGTAGACCAAGACGGCCTTGAACTCACAGAGATCCATCTGCTTCTGTTTCCCAAGTGCTAGAATTAAAGGCAGGCACCACGACCACCTCCCTGCAAGAGTCAGTTTTCTTGATTGCTGAATCCTCATAATGAAAATGATTAACATTGCCAAGTGCAGCTCTGGGAGATGGTGGAGTGGCTCATGTAATGTAGAGATTGAAAGATTTTAATTTGAAGATGTTGTTTCTACTTTGTTAAACTCATTCAAAGATCTTCAAGAGCCCTTACAGAGAAGAGATGGGTTGAGGTCTGAGCTTAGCCCTCCTGGATTTTGAAGGGTTTTACTTTTTGTGTTTTTGCATGATACAAAAGAGAAAAGCTGATTTATTGTTGAGATAACTTATTTAATTATTAAGCCGATTTAATGTTAATATAGCTTACTAAAATATATTTTAAACTTTCATGTATTTACCGTATTTACATCATTTCTCCCTCTCCAAATTCATGTCTTTTTCTTTATTATCCTTTTATAAATGTATATACACACAAATGTATGCATATATATTTGTAAACAAATAAACACCTAATCGCAATCTGGAGGTCAGGGTGTCCTGAAATTCACTAGGTAACCCATCCTGGCCTCAAATGCATAGCAATCCTCCTGCCTCAGCTTGCTGAGTGCTTGGGATTATAGGTATGAATGAGTCACTGCTCCTATTTTAAGATGTGTTTCTTATTCTTTTAGAATATGTACTCTATAACCTGAGTAACTGCCAGGCTAATTGGAAGGAATGTGATTAGGTTCAAATACTATGTATGAAATTACTTGGTAAAGTGTGAAGCACCATATAAATGTAAGGCATTGGTTACTGCATTCACTGTAGACTTTATAAGATAGAAGTCAATAGAGTTCGAAAAATAATTGAAGCATTAATTAAGTTTTGAGGAAAGACTTATGACCGTCATTAGGTTCATAGCAAATTATAATGATTTGACAGTGTATTTGGGTCACTCCCTTTCAGATAATTAGATGGGCAATTCCCTCTGCCTTCATGTACCATTTTGCTCTCAGGGTACTGTCTTTTACTCATTTTACAAAATTTTAAACGCCAACCAAAATTGTTCTTCCACTCTTTTTTTTTTAATCTCTCAGTAGAGGCTTAGGTGGTGAGCATGGAAAATCCAATACCACTGTGACTGTTGGCCTATATTCGTAGTTGAAATGTTAAATATCTAATAGATTTTATGGAAAATACAGGCTGTTCTCTTCCCAACGTTCATCTAAATCCATAGAATTTTTGCAGACTCCTATTATTTTTTTGTGGTTACTCTGGTTTCATCAGCTAATGTCCCGGTTTATCAGATACTTGCTTTATACCCTGAGAAGCTGACTTAGGGTTTCTGATAATGTGATAAAACACCATGACCTAAGGCAATATGGGGAGGAAGGGTTTATTTCAGCTTATATGTCCAGATCACAGGTCTACAGTGAAGGGAAGTCAGTGCAGGAACTGGAGGCAGGAAGCCACAGGCACCTACAGGCAGGAACTGAAGCAGAAGACTTAGAGGAGCACTGCTCACTGTCTTTGTCACTCATATTTGTTCAGCCTGCTTTCTTATATGGCCCAGGACCACTTGCCCGGGGCGGTAGTGCCTGCAGTGGGCTACCTCAGTCACTAATTAAGATGTTCTGTAGGCTTGCCTACAGTACATTCTGCCGGAGTCATTGTCTTAGTTGTGGTTTCTTCCTCCCAGATATGACTAGGTTTGTGTCAAGCTAACAAAAAACCAACTAGTACAAA